TTGATACTTGGGATCATGAGAAAACACATGACCAACACTATAATCAAGTGGGGTGTTAAAATCACCACTAAGCAAAAGCGTATGGGCTTGCGGAATGTGTGCAAGGCAATCACGAAGTTGCTTCCACACGTACTGACACTTTATGAGTAATGCAGAAACACCACCGGTTGGATTCCACGCCTGTTGATATATGGCCAGAATGTCATGTGGTCGAGACAGGTGCAAGCGTACCTGCATGAGTCTACCCGGTACATGGTGGGCAACCGAGATATTATCTTTATTGATGACACTGGTGCGCACCATCACCAAGAGCGATGCAAACTTGGCGGCTCCATGTAGTATATGCCAGTGAGGGCTGCTCCATTCATTCGTCATTGTTTATCCAATCTCTTGGACAGTCACTAAATCGAAGGGTGCATAATTGCACCACTCAACCCAGGTGGCATGGTGCAATGAGCGGGATGCATTCCACTAGAGAATACGAATCAACCCCCCTAGGTTTGGGGTGGTGGCATAGGTCGGTTCGATCTATGGTTGTGGTCGGTGTATCCATATCTATCGAATCTAAAAAGGGATCTGGGCCGAATACAACGGGCGGTTGCGGTACGTAGCAACTCCTTGCTCAAGTGCTGAATAAGAAGCACGGATGAAGATTATTTTTATACCTAGTGCGAAAAATCACGAGGCCCAAGCCTCATAGTGTTTTGCTTGGTGTGCATCACGGTGCGAAATGAAAATAATGCTTTCGTTTTCTCCTCAGATGGAAATAATAACCCTCGTGCCCAGCATAGGATATATAAAATCTATGTCATATTGGATTTCCATATTGTCCCGACCTAAGATTAGACTCTTCAATTAATAAATTAATACGAACGAAAACAAATAGAAAAATGGCTACATAAATTAAATAGATTCGAATCAATAAAAAGAAACTATAATACTACCCAAGATGGCCCACCCACACGCCTTTTTAATTAACATAGCCCTTAATAAATATCATAATTATCGAGAAATTCAAATAAATTAAATTCAAAATCAAATATTAATAATACTATTTTAATCAATATTATAATATATATATTATATATTGTATATATATATAAAATAAATAATCAATATTCCAAATTACTTTAAATATAATATCAATTTTATTTGTAAATTAAATATCTAAATATAATAGCAATTTTATAATTATAATTTAAAATAATCATTTCATTTTCCTATATTTAGAAGATTTGTTACGATATCCTAATTATCAATTCGATAAAAATGTTATATATCAAATAAATATATATAATAATCGAATCATCTCTATAATTCTTCAACGGAAGATAAATTAAAACGATCTTTTTTTATCCCTATTTTTATTTCTTTTACTTTGGCATCCAAATTCCATTATTGGATTTAATTATAATTAAGCAAACCATTTCAACCATATATCTAATAATCCCAAATATGCCTCAATATTTTCTTTTCAATATATTTCAAATACGGCTCAATATGCTAAGAAGCATTCTAAGTAGTAGCGAAATCCTAGAATCCCCATTCCCTAGTAGGTATTCTATCTTTCAATCCGGCGATATATTATTACATTTTTAAAATCCAATAACTATCATTTAGATTATTTACGATTATTTAATAATCATTTTTGATTTGCATTCAATATTATTATCCAAATTCTCGGTATAACCAGAATGCATCCTGGGAAACAATACATTTCAAAATTGGTTATAATCATTGTCAAAATCATATCAATCTCACTCCTCGTCGTGGAACCTTTCCTCCTCTTCACTTGCCCTCTGCTCCTCTACAATCGCAAGTCCAAAATTGGAACCCGATGGTGTGGCTTCGGGGTTCCAGGACTAGGATGCTAAGGGCTGGAGTGGACAAGTCATCATGCTACGTTTTCTTTTTCATCTCCAGTGCCAGCATTGGCTTTTGACATGCCCTTCTGTTCGGGTCATCCTGGATGTAGATGTAGATGAAGACCTCGGCTAGTGAGGCGGTCCCTGAAAACCATCTGCCTGTTCCTAAGTTCCTACCACCTTTTACACACATGTAATAGTAAAGCCAAAGGCTCACTACCATCTCAGCTACTCAAACACCTTCCATCAGGACGGGTCTTCGTAAGGCAGGCTGCGATGGTGATGATGATGAACAGCACAATGCCCAAATACATTGGCCACGTCTCCTGGGGAGTTCGTTCACGAACTCCCACCAGGAATCAACAGGGTGGACTCCTGACCACTTGGGACGGCAAAAAGACCTGCAATATGCATCGCTTGGGTCTATTCTATTACCAGGAACAGTGGATGATGATGGCTAGTAAAGGCCTTTTCCTGAAGTTGTGATAAGTATTTAATAGGACAAACCCAAGGGTATACGGAACTATCATCTGAGTATCTGAATGTCCACCACTCTTTGGCATCCTTGAGCAATCCTCATGCGTCTTTCCTTCAAGCTTTCTCTCACTCGTGTTCTCAGTCTTGTCAGGATTGCAAAGAGGCCATCCACTGAGAAATACCGGATGATGGGCTCCTTTTTGCGTTTGATCCACTTCTAGTCTACTTCCAGCAACTGGCTTACCAAGTAGTCCCACACCCGGCCGATCAACTCATCCACCAATGCCAATTTTGCCAGTCTTGCAACTCAGCCCTCCTGTTGGTAGTGAAGTAAAACATTGCTACTGTAGAGGCAAAGCCGCAAAGCATTGGCTATGCAGAACTACTCTTGAATAATCTTGCGATACCCTTCAAGCCATCTCATCCCTGATTTATTTCACTCAATGTCAGGTTGAGACCCTGAAAAGTAAGGCATCTTTCAACCGGAACAGAATGCACCCGCCTCCCCGGTGTGTAAAGGACCACCAGGGCCCAGCCCAGCACGCCGCTGGAACCTGCAGGGTCGTTCATGGGTTTTCATGGCTTCCATGGCTTCCATAGTCTTCCATTGAACATGCGAACCCCACCCAAATGCGTTACGCACCAAATACACAGCGCCTCCGATCTTTATGAGGCAGTTGAGGGAGTTTCTTACAGGGAGATGTCGACCGGGCACGAACCATGGGCTGATAGTGTTAACTGGGAGTCCCCTTTGATCAATAAGAGCTACTCCTGTGAGTTTTTTGAGCCACCCCAATCTGCCCTGTGCGGTGTCGTGCGTAGGCGAGCGTCTTTTTCCCCTTGCGGCCCAATGGGGCATCATGTATGTCAAATGCAGGCGTGCCGCTGTGCCCCACCAATTGAACTGCTGCACCCCGAAAAACCCGCCGAAGCATGCCGCTTCGGCTGATTTCCGTGTCCCAAAAAAGAGCGTGTCACTCATCTTCTGTGGTCAAACTTTTGTTGTATGGGTCCCTCGAGGTTCCCCTTTTTAAAGACTGACCTGTAATGTAGACTCTGGATTAATCAACCCCTCCACATGAAGAGGATGTCCAATTCAGTTGGGTCGGTTTATTCATCAAGAGTCCACATCCTGTAAGAAACTCCGAAGACCGCGAGAAAAAAATGACGGTCCCTGCCAAGTCAGCCCACCTCTGCAAGATCCGGGCAAGCTCAGGTGATAGCCTGGCTTTGCCAAAAACGCGAGGCACACGGAAACCGAGGAGAAAGAAAAGAACGATTACCAAAACTCTTGCTTGAATAAATGGAATATTCGGAATATCTGGAAAGGTATCGTTAGTTATGTTCTGGTATCGTTTTCCATGGAAAATCACATATTACATCTTGTTACATGTAGGAACAACAGCAGCCTCTTGCTTCTTACAAGCTAATGTCGTTGTCGCTTCTTCCACTCGGACTATTGGGCATCTGGGCCAAGAGCAAAGCAAATGTTCGTAGGCTTTAGCATCGTTTTACGTCTCATTTTGGTATCGCTTTTTGTTTCGCTCCAGCAAATCATTTTGTCGAACGTCAAACGCACATGCAGAAAACTCTTATTTGACCATGTTTGAAGAGCACAAACCGATTCTCAGTCCATACCGTGTACTTCATGGCTGGGAAACAGCAGCAAGCAAATTCATCGAGATTCACTTGTAAATTCACTGAAACAGGTATCGCTTTTCATGTGCTGGTATCGTTTTTCATGTGTTTTCATGGTTTGTCTAAGAGTTCTGAACATATTCCATATGTATCCATATGTACATATATACTGCTGAGGTGAACCCTTTCGAAAGTTGTTCAATTGAAGCATCCAGAACTCTGCTGAATTAAGCACTGAAGCGCTTCTTAAGCTTGGTCCTAAACCGTGCCCCAAAGAAGCCAGAATTTGGGGTTCCTGTACCAGCTCCTGATACTTCCTCACAGCACTGACACCTGTACTTGCAGTAGCCACTTGACATGCTCCGGTGGTTGCAAAGTAGAGCTGCAACTGATTCCATCCCTGGTGTCCTGATGTCTTTCTGTCCATCTTGCTGCGCCTCACACCGAAAGAGAAGAGCAATATGAACATGAACGTGCCACGACACATCATAGTAACACGACACATCATGAACCTATTTTCCTTCGCCTTCGCTTCTCAACTCGTTTTGTGTATCACCTTGTTTTCGTTTGTGACCCTCGGTCGGGCGAACAAAACACTGCCCAGCCTTGAGCACGTGGCAAAGCTCCTGACACCCAAAAACCGCTCAACTCCCGGCAGCCTCGGACATCCATCCCTTGGAGCGAGACGCGCGTCAGAAGGGAACACGAACGGTAAAGGCTCCGCGGCTCCTCTCGTTGTTGATGATTGAGCTCTTGGAGCAAAGCCTCAAAGGAAAAGTGCTGTTGGTGAAGAATCTTAGGGGTTGGTGAGGGGGCTCGCCACAAAGACTATTTTATATACAGGCTCAGCTGTTTCTGCCAAACCAGTGTTTCTTCATCTCGAGTCCCTTCCATTTTCGAGCCATACTCCGATCACTGGCTTTGGTGGAGCCCTGGAAGAATCATCCCAAAGCATAACAAATACGAACGTTTTGACTGTAGAATCATCCCTCTTCGCAGCCCTCTTGAGCACCAGAGCTGCATAAAGAGTCTAAAGATGTCTTCGCTGCCCGGCCTTTGTTTGCTCCTCGGTCAACTGCTTCTTGTCCTCTTTCTCAGATTGGCCCTGAAATCGACCGTGACGAAACTCTTTGACCGGGTCGGTCGATGTCTGGGTCAGTGAACAGCGACACATCGAGCAGCTCGTCTTGAGCTCAGCGCTACTCCACCTCCGAGCTGACCTGTGAGCCGTGGAAGGATAGAGCAGAACTCGAACTACCAAGTGTGTGCTACTTCATCCCATGAATCGGGCATGGTTTAAAGTAAGAGAAGAGACCACAGGCAGCTTTCAACCCACCAGCTCCTTTGGAATCTTTGGACGCCCTCCTCAACCCCCCAAGCTCTTCTTGCTCACCATATGAAGTGAGCGCTCACATCAAACCAAGACTTCTGCCAGGCACTGTATCTAGCGATTCATTAATCCGCTGTCTCTTAAGGACGTGGCTCCCGTTTGTCTTGTTCCAGCCCATTCTCTTAAGGACGTGGCCCCGAAGATGCTCAGTGCAGTGCCGTATCCGGAATCATGGGTATTACACTCCGATGAACACATCGAAGTGGAACATGGCTGGGAAGACCATGTTCCCAGCCATACAGGTGCTTTTCAGCGCTGAAACCACTTCCATGTTAGTAAGTCAGAGTGTACATGATACTAGTACGTAGGTTGGAGGCCATCGATAGCAGGTTGGCTTAAAGTCTTTTTCTACAAAGGTATGTTTAATATTCTTTTCGGCTGGAGTGCACATGATGCTACTGGTCTCGTTTCGGAACGCCTCTAGACTGTTCAAACTCTTCCACCAGCTTGGCCACGTCATCATCCATGAAGCCGCGCATTTGGGCGAACGAAGAAACTAGGAAAACCCATCCAAGGCAAACATGCCAAACCAATCCGAGACAAACATGTCAAACCAATCCGGAACAGTTCACTTGATACAATTCGCTACATGTCCCCACATTTGGCGATTCACCGCATTTCGTTTTGCCGATCCTCTGCGCAAGCATGAACTCGTTGGTGAAGCTTGAGCTGAAAAACACCATGACAGAGATGCTGTGACCGGAAGCGAATCCGTTCGAGTCCACATCCAAAACGAAAGGAGGAAGGGGAGCGCTGGCGAGTGTTGTTGTTTCACACACACACACCAATTGATTTGGCACTGGATGTTGGTACCAGTAGGGTGTACGCGTCCAAAAGAAACCTCAACAGATCCAATACGCTAGCTTTAAACCCTTCTTTGTTGTTTGTTGATGTTTTCATGCTCTGCTGCCCATCTGCTTTGTCAACTGGGATCTTTCTGCGTGTTCAAGCCACTCTGCCCTCCTTCCGCACCCAGATTTCTCGGTCTTTCGCGTCTGCGGTTTTTTTGCGCAGCTTTCCACTTTGAGCTGTGCAACACTTTATTGCCCATAGATGCCCATTGTGCCGAAGTGGCACTACTATGGGATGCCTCACCTGCTGAAAAGGCATACCGGTCAGACTCTTGTGGACTAAAAAACACACTCACTGGTCAGACTAAAGAAGGAGTTGACTCATACAGCTGACAAAATCAGGCCGGCATGTTGATTTATGTCAAATAACTACCTAAGAAGCTACTAGTAACAAGGTGCATCGCTACTAGTAACAAGAAGCTACTAGTAGCTATTTGCTACTAGTAGTAAATTTCATGAGTAAACTCTTTGTGTCATTCTCCCTCATCCGCTATCATCCGCTCATCCTGCACGGCGAGGCTTCTCCTCTCTCAGCTCTCCTTGAAGGGCTTGGGCCCCAAAATTCGCAAAACCTCGAAATGTCGAATCGAACAGAGAAACGCAGCGATTCGTGTGGGGGTGTCGATGGCGAGCTCCAAATGGATGGTTTCTCGGTCTAATGGAAGATGCTTCCATTGATGCCAAGGCATCTCACAGAATTTCCCAAGAACACCTCTCACAGTGAGCTACCTATGCAGCTCCTTACTCTTGTCTTGGTTTGTTTGGGTTCTTTACTCCTCAGATGGAAATTCATGAATTGCTGGTCGGGTCCCCCCGAAAGGGAGAAAACCCCCGTTTCACCAATGCCGTGACGCCGCTCGATGCGCGAACCGGCCAAGCTGATTTGGGGCCCCGGCCCGTTGCTCTTCTTCTCGACGGTCAACAGCCGCAGTCCTTGCGCAATGGCCATGCAACAAAAAAATCAGCCAGGTGCAACAGCACCAATGACTCCTCATCAGTTGTCTTGGACAATATCTCAATATGTCCAAACGGATGCCGTTCTTTGGTCGTTAGGCAAACTGGGCCGTACCTGAATTGCTTTCCAGAAGAGATAGATCTTTGAGTGTGGAGGCATGTGGAGGGTCATGTGGAGGGTCTGGTGCTTCAACAGTCTTGCTGCTGTATCGCACAATGTCACAACTCTACGATGCAACACTGCATGATGAAGCAATCAAGCTGGCCCCACCTACCTTCACCTACCACATCGACTATACCCCTTGAATTCTCTTCTAGTTCCTTAGTTCTTGAGCCAGCAACAAAGGACCCATGCGATGGTGATCTCCTAAAGGCCACCCATGCGATGTGAGGGAAGGTGTCCAGGTCGGTGCTATCCACTCGTTGTGGGGCTCTCAGCCACCTTAGTCAAAGCAATGGCCTAAAACCTACTAGCGATGGCTTCCAACCTAGGATGCTGAGCAAGGACAAGATCTCTTTTGTAGTCCAAATTGGAAGTGTGGACCGTACCTGAAGTGCAGCGTTTCATCCAAGGCTAAGCCCAAAGCCGGGTCGAAGTCACTGGCATAAGATCTTTCGCATGTTTTTCCACATTTGCTACTGGCACAAGTGTCCCTTCTGTTGTGTTCCAATGAGGGAAGACGCAGTTGTCTTGCCTGCCTTGTCTACCTTGGGCGCCATTTTGCCGTTGAGTGACTCTATTACTTCACTGCAGGTTCTTGCCCTATCAGTGGACAAGGAATACCGAGAATCCGAACTCTTGAGTAAAGGATCCATAGACGTAGAGGGCCCAAAACCAACCTGGGCCCGAAGAAACGGGCGGAACCTGAGGAGCAAAACTCTGAACACCTACGAACATCGAAGGGGACGAACTCGGGAACATAATATCCCAATAGCTCCTTCGGGCAGCTTTTTGGTCGAATTTTTGAGATCACCGATGGTCACCGTGGCTTTTGGCAAATGGATGCAAATTGTAAAGATGTTGGCAACAGCCCCGGCTTTGAGACCCAAAAACGCACAAGGTCCCTCAGAAATGTCTCTCCAAAACAAGTGGCAGGATTTTGGACATCACCGGCCGTCGCATTGCTGAAAGCTCATGGCCAGTGTTGGATGCAGAACCGACATATCCAGGACGCTTGCTCCTAGTAGTAAGGCCAGGAGCCCCTAGTAGCTTCTTGTTACGTTCGTAGTAAGAATGCTCAGTTCGTAGCGATGCCAGGCCTCGTTCGTAGCGTCCTTGCTCATCTTTAGAACAACTACCGATCCCCCAACCCCCCCCAAAACCAACGACGGAATCAAGGCCCCGCACTCCCGTCCTCTGCATTGCGTTCGCCCAGAATGCTTTGAACCTGAGCTGAGCTTCTTACCAAGCTTTTGAGGTGGACATGCTTTTTGTATGTGGACATGAACCCAGCAAAAATCCCTGGAGCGATTCCTGAGCATCTTTGGTAGGCCTTCCACATCTTTCGCACTCCATTCGTGCCTCCAAGCCCGGGGCTCCCAGCCACATGACCGAACTCGCCTCCATAGTCGTCAAATTCAATCCCGCCCTCCTGGAGCTTCGAACTGGTGCACGGGTGACGGAGCGTCTGTGAGGTTCGAAGGGCACCGAAGCCACGGTTGACGGGTGCCGAAGCCACCGAAGGCCAGGTCGTTCCATGAAGAGGGTGCCGAATGAACGGAAGTCGGGAGGGAACATCCACGGCCCCTGGATGTGACCGAAGCAAACCACCCTTTTGTGACGAAGCAAGCAAGCACTGAGCTTCTTCTTCTTTTCGAATTCTCAAGCCTGTCTCTGTCTCCTTCTTCACCACAAAGGTGGTCCAAATTGCTTCTATTGACCCATGACGAACGCGGTCAGCCCAACATCAGTGGGCGAGTTCTGATCCGTTCCCGCCGATCCCACGGAGCTGAAACGAAACGTCGACGTGACTATCAACGAAGGGACTTGGTCACCCGTCCGCAAGCGTGTCTGACGGAGCATCGAAAAGTAGACCACGCACCAGAACTGCCCACGACGATGTCCGGAACCAATCAATGATTATGCGAAATGAAGGTGCACAAAAACTCCTTTTGTGAACATGAATTAAATGCCAAGACTTCGTTGGGGCTTGCTTTGGGGTCTTTCGTGGATCACACCCTGTCCAATCCTTTCGTAACAAAAACACCCCAGCTTGACATCGCTCTCGTTTCTATGTGTCGTGTGCCTCATCTCCATCCCTGTTTCCCCATGGCTCTCCATGTCGCGCTCGTTTTCCTTTCCTGGTCGCTCAGGAGCTGCTCTGTGAGTTGCCATCCTGTGCTGAGCTCAGAGGAGATCGGAGCGCTATAGGAGACCTCCCAAACGTCGCCGCGGGGGGACGGCCGAGGAATTGGTGAGAGGAGCTGAGGACGTGGATGGTGACATTCGGAAGATGGTGGGTTAGTTGATTAATGTTGTGACATTTTGGGGTGATGTGGACCTGTCTTGCATGCTGCTTTATCTGTTTTCTTTTGGTCTGTACTGAGAACTGGGGTGTTTTAAGGGTGCTCAACAAGGACAAGGACCTTGGCTACTCCACAAAAGGACCCTCCAACGCAGGAGTGTCGCAAATGGGACTCGGACGATCTTTTTCTGACACTTTCTCAGACTTTCGCAAGCTATGGAACTGATGGACATCATAAGAAACTGATGGACATTCTCATCAAGCAGGTCTTCTCCGAAGAGAAGGTACCCGCAGTCTGGCACGACGCACGACTCCGGTGGTTTCATCCGGTGACTGAAACAGACTCCGTTGGTTCAAATGCACTTTATGGAACTTTTCGTCTAAATCACATCCACCAGTCGCAGGCTTTCTTCACCAGTTGAAATCACCTGGGCCCCGCGACCCGCGCGAAGTGGAGCGCGACGTGGCGCTGCACTCAGAGCTTGGAGGAGATCTTCTGTCCCAAATGCTTGAAACGAGCCTTGGCCAAGATCACGCTGAAGACCATGACCGCCACCGATGTGCCGATGCCAGAGGCATACCTCAAAATACGGGAGAGTGGTCAAAGGCCCTAATTTATTGTGTACAAGGCAAGCGATAAAGCATGATAAAGCCCTGAAGCGCAGAAAAACAACCTTCAAGAATCTTACTTTAAGGCATCTACAACTTGCTAGTTCAAGAACTTCTTGGTCAAGAGTAGCACTGATACCCCAAAAAAACAAAACCCATAAACAAACCGACGATGGGCTTCCTCATTTATGGGCCTTCCAAGCTAGCAGTCTTAGCTAGTCGCATGTGGGAGGGTTGCGATATTTCGTATCACCATCCCCGAAACCCTAAACCCTAAAACCAGTCGCCTGAACCAGTCGCCTGATGCACAGCAGTTGAGTTGTCGTTTCACATCCTTTCTTCGTCAGCAATCCGTTAGCCCACATGCTGGGCTGGCGCCGAAGGAAAAAGCGACTTTGTGACAAACGAACAAACAAACCCAAGCGAACAAACATCACCACTATTTGAATGAAGGTGAATGACTGTACACTCTGAACTTCTCAGAAACACTAGACTCAGGCTTCCCAACATCGATTGCCAGGGCACCAAATGCCTTTGACGCCCAAGCCGAAGTGGAAGGCTAAGAAGTAGCCGGCAGGGAGCATGAGGCCATAGTAGCTCAGCAAATAGACGACCTCTGAGGACTGTCCCAGCATCTATCTGGGGGAAAAGATGGGTATACACCAGGGATGATGGGGCCTGGTTGCTGACTTGAAAAGAACAATAGGACACACATATTTACACCAGCAGAGTCAGCGGCTGCAAAATCAAGCTCTGTTTCTTGAAAGGATTGAGCCCAGGTGAGGGAGAAGCTCCTTGTTCAAGCCAAAGTACCGAACATTTCCAAGTAAAACACACGAAGTTGAGCTATTCCAAGGGAACGTTCGTTTACCCAAAACTATCCACATCCCATCGTGCTGTTTTGCCAAGACCAGGTTGAGGGGTATTGCACGTTCCCAGTCATAGTGTCATTATCTGATAGTTGAGCTTGTTGCTGTTGCAATTGTGGCAGCAAGCTGTCCAGTGATGGACTGTTCATCCCGCATGGTGCAAAGAATGTCAGGGACAGTCACCTGATCCATCCGGTTCTTCTGCGTATGCAGGGGTTTTCTTCAGGGGTTCGGACAGTCTGGTGACGGATTCTCTCACCTTTGACCGAAAACAATTCTGCCTCTGTTGGTCGACTTGTCCTCTAAAGCGAGCGAATGGATGACTCCAGTGCTTCAGTGTTGTATTTCTTACCTCAGAAATTCCACCCATCCAGGTGATCTTTAGGCCAAGTGACATATCTCAGTTCCACAACCTGCTCTGCCTCTCAGTTGCGCCCACCCAAGGGACGCATGATTCACTCGGGTAAGAAAGGCCTTCCGACACATCCAACTCCCCAAGATTTCTGGCGCGACAGGCCGACGCCTTCCCGACGGCACGCGGCGAAAGACATGGCAACTCGCTCAGCGCCCAGCGCTCAGCACCACGTCTCTCATGATTCTGCTCCGTTTACTTTGGAGGAACTCTCATGAATCAGGGATGGTGATTCCAGTGCTTCCCGACATGGAAACACATGAAAAACCTCTGAAGAGGCCTGACAACCTCTTCATACGGGAGGGTTTATTAATCAAGGATATCAAGAGTCTACATTGGGTAGTACTTCTCGGCAGTTTCATCCGACGTTGTGCTCTGGCGCGCTCCGCCGCTCCGCCCTGCTGCCCTGAGGCCGAGCTGGAAGTCATCATCCCCATGCCGCGCAAAGCGCCTGACATGATGTGCTGCGTGGTATCCGGCAGACCCGCCTCAGTTCGCCGGGGACATCGCGGGTGTTTGAGGATCCGAAAACGGTTCAGTGACGTTCAGTGCGATTGGACCGGCGATTGGGATGACTTCTGATCTGGTAGTTCACGTCACCCAATTTTCAAACGGTCCATGGGTTTGTACCAAGTTTGCTGCATGCAGGTTCGATTGCTTCAACATTGCGCCAAAATAGATCTCTGCGACTGTGTCACGCTCCATTCCACTCCATTCCATCAGATTATTTTTCAACAACGCAGAACAAGGATATATACCCCCAAAAACACCCTTCGCCTGCTCACAAAGGCCCACGGACTTCAAATCATCAGGATTAGAACCTCAACGCGACTGGAGTGCCAGAGCCTTTTGTTAGCATTAAACCAGGATGCAGTACCCCAAGCTAGTTTCAATGTTTATCATAGATCGATGCGACTTCCAGCATTCACAGTAGCAGTCCAAGATGCAAAGGCAAAAATAATCAGCAAACCTTCAATGAGCTGCTTCACCTGCAACATGCCCATCTGATCTGGCGACCCAAAATGACCCCCAACCAACACCCAGAACAACTCACTTGAATAAAAACATGAGAAACACATGTGTGAAAAAAGGTGTGAAGACCATCATCTCTGCAGAACGGGCAATCCATCCATCCATCACCGGCTTCGGTTTGTCACGCGACGAAGAGACGTCGCCCCGTTCGCTTCTTCCCGTTCGGGCGACGGTCGGTCGGTCTTCGCCTCCCCGGGCTTCACATAAATGCCCGCGATGGCGTGCTGCCCTAGCCTGACACAGCGAAGGACGTGCGTGGCGCGACGCGCGTGACTCGCGCCGGCTGAGCACATCTGCGGACGATTTCGAGCTCAAAAGCGGATCACTTGGACACATTAGGGGCTCCTGGCCTTACTACTAGGAGCGTTCGGACGCTACGAACGGAGCATTCTGGATCACTTTTGGTTTACTTTTGGATCGCACAAAATCCTTCAGGTCACGATCAGGCGACTGTTCGTTGGAGACATGGAGGGAGAAAAGGGAATATTAGGAGGTTTTGCGAAGCAATCAACAGGCTGCAATTGATGGGTACCGGATGAGCGTTTGCAGAAACACGGCTGGTTCTCAAAGAGTACCAAATACTGGACATGGAGGAGTGGCATTACTTATTATTCAACTTGACCTTTTGAGAGCACATGAACTAGCTGAGAGAAGTCTCTAGCTTGAATAATTATGTTGATGATTGTTGCTTCTGCTCGGTCCATTGCCAGCTTAAATGCTCAAAACACTGGCTCGTACCAGCTTCCTCGCTGTGGTCAGCACGACCTGAGAACCTGACCTTGCACGAGTGCGCCAGTTCGCCTACCAAACCCAGTCTGAGAGGGTCAAAACGAGCCCGGTTGATTTCTGGTTGACTTCCCCAGCCTATCTGTTTGTGGGAAACAAACCGGTCGCTCGCTTCCCCAGTGCTACGACAACGAGAAACGGTTGTGACCTCGGTCGTCTCGGCTCGCATCAGCGTCTTCAGTCAGTCCTCACTGGCCGAGATGCAGCATGGTTGTCGAGATCATCAACCAAACCACAAGATTCACCACCAGCGACACCTTCACAAAGGTCTTAGCCTCCTGAGGCCTTGGTCAGGGGCATGGGGGAGCATGGCGGAGCATGGCGGAGCCGGTGGTGGAGCCTGGTGGCCATTTTGGGGCCGATTCCCTCGAAAGCGGAGATACTCAGGAGAGATGCACATCACATGAAGATTTTCAAAGCCTGTGTCCATGTAGGTCTCATTCGGACCTCTCTTCTTTTGAGGACCTGACACTTGGAAGCCCTTGGAATCGAGCATGAAAAAGGCAATTCAAGCCAAATTGAGGGGTACGTTTAGCAAAGCGAGCATGGATTGAGGCTGCCTTCTACTAACATTTGCTATTGACAATTGAGCAGAAGAACATCGGCTACAGGTCAATATGTATATCTTCATGTTTCTCCATGGTCGACACCCAATGGACCTAAAACGACCTAAAAATACCCTGCTCGACGCGAAAGTGTTGTGCTGGTCTTGTACCACCATGATCCACCAGCACTACGGCCGACCACCTGGCCCAAATTCAGCCCCGAATGTCCCAACTTCGGACCCAAGACCGTCTTTGGAATAGAGATGATAGAGGGTACAGGTTGTACAGGTACACTCCCCTTTCTACGACAAGAGGTGGCATCGATGGCGGTGGGGCCGACTGTCTCCCGAGCCTAGCGATGGTCACTTCCTTCAAAGCTGAGAACAGCGGTTGTTCCCGCCTGTTGGCTCCCAGCATTTTGCCCACCAGTGCGGCAGCAGCAGAGGAGATGCCCACGGCTGGCCTGCGAGGTCAGCATCGGCTGCGACACATGTCGACCCCGTCATGACTCGGACACAGGAACGACAGGGACATCCAATTGACGACAGTTGGGTTTGTGGGATGTCATCCCAACTTCTTAAACCACGAATATGGCATATATTATTCTTTTGAGTGGAATATAGTGGAATACTTCAGGACAGCTTTATACTTCTCTGGTGGTATCAATCAGAGTGGCAAAACATACTCTGCAGGAGCTTTCGAGAGGAATTGCCTAAGACTTGGTGAATGTCAATCCTTTGCGAAAATACAGCTTGATGTTGGAGTCCGTGCAGGTTCATGTCTCTTTGTGTTGCAAACGCATCAAAGCGCCGCACTCGCAACGTTTCTTCGGCTCTGAGCCCCTGGATAGCCAGTCGAATTCCTTGGGGAAGCCAGTCGACCCACGAGTCGAGATCGAAAGGTGAAGGAACTCGGTACCCCAAAAGCACCCGAGATCAAAGCCACCCCGTTCACCCGACCAATACCCCCCCTGTACCGGTCCGTTCTTGCCCATCCGAGTGGCATGAAGGTGAGGCCAATAAACTGATTGGCTGCCACATGTGCAGCCAAAGGAATTGTTCCCAAGAAGCCCACCAACAAGGCACAAATCTCCCAGAACCACCATTCGCTGCCTCAGATGATGGATGCTCCCTTGGTGCTGTTGGAGTGCCCTTACTGCGAAAGCAAAACAAGAGAAGATCCCAAGACGCTCCAAGTGGAGTCCGGTCACTTCCCGGTGAAATTGATCGCTCTGGAGCGAGCAGAAATCAAAGAGAGGCCCATTTCCCACCACTCTTTGCAGTCGAGCGACCCATCTGTAAAACGCAGGGGATGGCCACTTTCAAATAGGCTCCCCATTTTCGAAAACTCCCCTGTCCTCGCACCGTGAACGGAGTCGGATGGTTCGTTCCGCGTTCGGAACGCCGCGTTCGTTCACCCGCATCCGCGGAACTCGTTCCGTCGGGTTCCCCGAAAAGCGTGCCTGCACGAAAAGCCCATGTGGCAAGTGGTTATATGGTTCTCAAGCAAGCGGTCAAAACCATGTTCTTGGTTCCAAAGATCACCAAAAAGGCTGCCAGTAGACACTCCATCCCGGCTGTAAAGTGATACATCCGTGTTGACCAGGATCAGTCTTATGCCAAAACACACGCTGTGACTCTCGTGGTGATGCAAATGGACAGGACGAAAAAGAACGGTAGGAAAAAAGAAGCACATACAGTAGAGTCAAACACAAACACACACACACACACACACAAACACCTGAAAAGGCAAATCCACAAATGGAGTTCTGCTCGATGTTTTGAGCATTTTTTGCTTGGTATTTTGCTGTGCACAGGCAGTTGATGTGCATGCAGGGCATATCCAGACGCGACACGGCTCTCAACCAGAAGGTTTTTTGCCGCCCCCCCCGCCTGGCAGCCACACATCGCGTCGCTTCATCCCCAGCTTGGGCGCGATGCGGGTGACGTACAAGGCGATGAGAAGCCACTGACCTGGCGAAAGAATTTCCGAAGTGTTTGGCTTGACATTTCCATATTTGAAGATCTCATCTGCGACCCATGCTAAAGGATAAGTTTGAACCACCGTGGCATATTTTGTGCCGGAACAATGTACGCTAGAACAGTTGGGAACGAAAAGAGATGTCGCTCTCCTCTTTTGAGGCGTCAACGACTCTGTTTGACTCCATGGATCGAGTCGGTAGATCGAGTCGGCCCCCGGTTTGATGCGGCCACCCCCCCACACCGATGGTCCCGTCCCTCTAGAGACCGTTCGCGACTTTCCGTTCGGTAAAGCCCAGGTGCAGGTCCAGGTGACACCGTTCGCGAAGCCAGCACCAGAGTTGCCCAGCTTGAAATGGAGCACGAACAGTGCACCTGAGAGGGTGACAAAACGTTTGCCTGTCGACTGGGGGCTACTGGACGACCCAGCACGGAGAATGTGGACTTTTAAGTTTCAGGTGAGTTAACCCTGCTTGAAAAATTCCAAATGCCATCTACTCAAGCAGTTCGTCGCTTTCCAACATGTTGTGAAGGCCGATTCGCTTGGCAGGTTCATCGTTTTCTGGGGTTTGTCTCGAAGCACCAAAAGATGGTGGAAAGAGCATGTTATCCTCTTTCCATGTCCTAAGGTAATCAGGCATCACTTCCAGCTGCTCCCACCCTCCCGGAAATCAGGTTCTGATTGGCAAGAGCCACAAAAGCACGGGTTCCGCTAGAAAGATCTGGCTCAGTTTTCTGCCAGGGCACACCAGCCAACATGCAAAAGAGAGGAGATGATGTTGATCACCAAGGGCGGAGTGGCAATACACTGATTCTGCAAGAACTTCGCCAATGCCTGACACTGTCGACAGAAAAACAAAACACATGGTCCAGCAGTCGACTGGAGCATCTTCCACAAATCCTGACACGAACATCCAGGGTCCTTCGGTCAAACCTGGTCAATCCGGGACTGGACCTCACCGCACCTCGCCCCGCCCTATCCGGCGAGTCGAACGCGTGGTGAGAGGCATCTTGGAGAATCTGGGAAGTAGCACAAGGGATCACTCTGTGTTGGGCATTTGTTCTGGATCTTTTTGTGGCAACAATGACCCCCCAAAATCTGTACTTCATCTTTTCACATGTGGGTGTAAGTTTTGGCTCCATCTGGAATCCTTGATGGATGATGTTTCTCATGGACATCAAAAAGCATCAACCATACCTTGGGCTTGTGTTTACGGGTGGGGCCTGGATCCTTCACTCGTTCTTCGTTCTGACGGCTTCGCTGGGTGAACACCTGCTTTTCTTCCGCCTGACCGGTGAAAACCATCGAACCTCAGCGGGTGGGCGAAAACCTGCTTTTTCGGCCAGGAACGAAGGACATCCTTCAGCAGCAACGAATTCTACGTTCGCTTCTTGTTACCACTAATTCTACGGCACCTGTTGCTAGTAGCGATGCACTTGTTTCTGCCAGCATAATCCTTGATCCATCTAAACGCCATCCTTCCTGTGGGTCAAAAGCGGGACAGCCTGGTGGACTGAACATCAACAGAATAGACAGATTACCAGGTTTCGGTCCACCTGCAGTTTGGGTCTCCAGGTTTTGACCTTCTCGAGGAACATCTGACCCAGTCTCCAACCGACACGGCAGTCGACTCGGCAGTGTTTTAGCCAGTCCAAACGCCTGGTATTGAAAGAGGCAAAAGAGCGCTGGCGCTGTGGTGCGGTTGTAGGCTGCCGCTAGCTGTGCCACATCTGCATGTTGTCCCAAGCGCAAGAGCAAGGGTGCTGAATAGCAAAGAACCGGGATGATCCACCTTTCCAGCAAAAGAGTCGGTCCAAAAGGACGAAGAGCGTCGAGTCGAGTAGGTCCTTCTTTGGATTGACCAAGACCGTCTGAATGAAAAAGGTCCAGAGCGAAACTCTTGTGGTCAAAAATGGTAGGTCCCAAAAGCTCACGTTGCAAATGGTACAACACACCAAATAGAACATCTTACACCCCCAGAAAGGGTACGTACAAAATTGTACAAATGATGCATGCTGTGACAAACATAAGGCATGTTCCAGAGCTCCAGGCTGGTGACAAATTGCAATGGTACCAGAAAGACACTGTGTCTCTCTGATCTTTGTGCTAGGAAAGGTTCCAGCCAAGCTGGAGGGAACACTCACTGACCAAAGAATCGTCATCTCTCACAAAAGAAACTGATAGACTCTGATAAACCAATGGTTCATCACAGTTTCAAAGACTTCTCCTCTCCATCTCCCCCTCATACCTGATTTCGACACGCCCCATCCACTTTCAAAAGCGTGTTCAATCCTCACAAGTAATGTTATTGGTGATCGCAAAAGAAGTGGATTTGGTGGGGTCATTTGGCTGAGAAAGGATTTGCTTGTCGGCACGGTCATCAAGGAATGGCTTCCTCAAGAATTTGCAAGATCTATGAACAGTCCCACTTTAGGGGGCATGGTCATCACTCCCTATATCTCCCAATTCAATATTTTGATCCAGGAAGCAGCAGCTGCAAGGTTGCAATGAAACGCCCCCGCTGGAATTGCTCGCACGCCACTGCCTGCAGTCAGAAGTCGGAGACCCAGCAACCACGCCAGCCCCCACGCCCAAGATCAGCAAAGCGACGAAGTCATGAGACCCGACTCATACAACATGTATACCACCCACATGTGTAGGTCCTGCAAATCAGACAAAGTGAATCAAATTGAAGACTGTTGTGTAAATTTGTGTGGCCTGGTCTGGCTATTTCTGGTTGGTACACTTACTGGGATCTCAAAAGGCCTACAGTTGAAACAGTCTTAGTCTGGATGCTGAAAAGGAGAACTGATTCAAGCTTGAACAGGTTTTCCCTCTGAGCACCCTGAGCACCCACCCAACCGGGTCTTTTCTGTCCCACTTGGGCTGAATCCACGCCCAAGGGGCTTGGGGAGGGCCCGAAGCGTGGACGGCAGCTGTTGGCATTGTTGGACTGCCCCTTCCCTACCCGCCAAACACCAAACACCTTCCCCAGCCGGGTCGAACGGCAGGGGCCATTGGGGTTGGCAGGCGCCACAACAAGGAGACCCGACGTCTAGACCTCAACGGTGCTGTCACTTCGAGGCTTGCGGACGAAGAACCGACTTCAAACACCCCCCAGACTTCAACAGGTCACGAAACGCATGTCACGAGCTTTCTTCTTGGCGCATGGGAAGATGTGGGAAGTCTCCAGCCCATGTGCCAAACCAGCTTCGTGGCATCAACTTTTTTCAGCGCAGTACCTAGCCGTTTCCTTTGGTCTGGTGCACGGGAAGCATCGCCTGATTGCCTGCGCCATAGGCTTGACTCACCAAAGAGTCCAAGGCAGCCAAGAGCCCCCCAGCCGATGCTCAAACCTAAACCTCAGTGAGCCCCCGACGGAGTTTCGCCCGGGTTCCGCGGCCAAGTGGGCCAAGTGAGTCAAGTAACGGCCAGAAGGTGATCTCTCATCTTCCACAGCTCATCTCTCATGATAGATCCTGCTTTGAAAGGATTGAGCTTTGCCGGAGATGTCTTAAGCTCATGATCTCTGAACTACTCTTCCTGCGAAAATCCTTTCTCATCTTTCTTTTCAAGCCTTAAACATAAATTGAATCTGATTGAATCTGAAACACATCAGAACTCGCTCCACCCAATCCAACTAACTCAGCTTGGTGACAGTTCTGCATCATATTTCCCAGGCCCACTGCTGCCAAGGACGCTGATGTACTACTTTTGCCCAGCCTGGGCGGTGGCGCGCCGGCCCGCGGCGATGCGCGCGGCGATGCGCGCGGCGATGCGCGGAGGGCTCCGGGCAACATCCATGCTGTACGGTGTGGTCGACCCCTCTTGCACACCAGACGAGTCGAGTGATTCACTCAAAGCTCCTCGTAAAATGCCTTCTCTACAACAGACCCCCAGTTGGGAGACAAAGATTCGCCTTTCAACCAGAACAGACGGGGAAAACATCAGCGCTCCGAAAGCGAACCCCTCTCTGACACAGCGAAGCCGCGCAGATTCTCGGCGTCTCGACTAACTTCAGGGCTTTCGCCCGCTTCGACGTCCGTCCATCTTTGAACGAGGTCGTTCTCCTTGTTGAAGGCAACAGGGTTTTTTCTTGGGCGCCCCACATGATGACGTTGGTCTGCTCATTGAGCCTTGGAAAACTTGCAAGTTGCAGTTGCACAGGTGGCTCATTGGGTGCCTCACTTTCAGAATCAGCATCGGCCAACACCACATGCACAATCACAACCCTCAAGAAGCCAGTCGTCATACTTGCTCTGATCAATCTTCGCAAGGCTTCTCCCACCGGAACCTGTCAGTCGCCCAAACTAACCGGAGACAGATCGAGATCTCTCTCTCTCTCCGATGTCTTTCGTGGACCAATCCTCGTGTTTCCCCCCGATGTCTTTCGTCGCCAGCTTCCGAGGTGCAAGGTCAGAGCGCAGGAACCCATGTTGGGCATCGCGATGCGCAAGACCTGGCAAGACCGAAGACGGACCTGGAGCACCGGACCGAATAGCCACCGTTGGGATGAGGCACTTTTACAGAAAATGGTCCGGCAGTATCTGGGAAAAAACATGAAGCAAATCCATCATTTCTTGTTTTGGCCACTGAATCTGCAGACTCTGTCGGATGTAGTTCCCAACATCACAGCTTGGACTCAAGCCTACCGGAGGCTAGCGGTGTCAGCGGATTGGGTCGGTTAGTGCCATGGAGTTAGATCGCACCATATGGAAGCCTCTTTCCACGGATTTTGAGGGGATGGAGATCTCTTTACGGTTGATTAGGCGCTCAGATGACTGGGTGAATCCTTTGACGCATCAGACCTTTTTGCCTGTGGGATTGGGGGCGGCTTGTGGTTTGTGCCTGTCCCTGCATTCATGGCAACTTGGCCGAAAGAACTCAGAAGGAGCTTTTCTTCTCCATCCTTTGCCGACTTCAAAACATGTCATTGAGCCTCCAAAGAGGAAGGAAGATTTTTTCAGGCTTTCCGAAGTTTGTGCTGGCCTTGGAGGGATTTCGCATGGGGGCTTCATGACGGGGATCGAGCCCCACGTTGCTCTGGAGATCTCTACTTTTTCTTGTGCTCATCTTGCGGCCAACTTCTATCCAAGGGTTGTGCAAGGAGATGTCTCTTGCAAGGCTGATGTGGGCCTCTTTCACCAGGCTATGGCAGGGTTGGGTTCTGGACTAGCTGCAGGCTTTCCCTGCCAACCTTTCAGTTCCATGGGGGCCATGCATGGCTTTAGCGATCCAAGGGCAAGCATTTACTTCAGGATCCTGGATGTTGCCTACTTGACCCAGTGTTCTTTTTTGCTGCTAGAGTGCGTGCCAGGAGTGAGTGGACTCAGGCCCATCACTGACGCTATGGATCGTTTTTGTGAAGTGATGCATTTCCAATGGAGAACGACCATTCTTCATTTGGATCGGGCACTGCCGTCACGTCGAACGCGGTGGTGGCTCCTTGCCCTTCCTAAGGACATGTCTCTACCGGTGCTGAGAGATCTTCCTCTCTCGCATGATCGGCAGCGACTTGGTCAGGTCATCACCAGTTGGCCTTTGTGGCCACTCGAAGAAGAGCAGGAGCTGCAGCTCTCACAGGCCGAACAAGACATGCATCATGATTCGAGCTATGGAGTTGTGCCTCGGCTTTTAGATATCAACAGCGCAGCGCCAACACTGCTGCATTCAGCTGCACATCATTTGGTGGATTGCCCATGTGGCTGCAGAGGACCGATTAGTGATGACACCTTACGTGCACGAGGCTGGCAAGCCACACTAGTGCAGTCAAGATACCCATTGATAGGACTCAGGCATTTGCACCACAATGAAGCTGCTTTTCTTGTAGGGGCACCATTTGGTTTAGTCGCATTGGAGGGCCGCAAGGCGCTTTTGCCTTTGCTTGGACAAATTGCTTCGCCCATCCAGGCACACTGGATCTTAGTTTTGATGCAAGAAGCCAATGGCTTGTTGGGTGATCTCACGCCTGAACAGGCACATGAGAGAATCGTGCTGCATCATGTAGATGATCACTTGAGGCAATGGCCAACCAGATCGCATGCTGTGCCACGGCCGGTGTCAATTGCCATTGAACACCAACCGCCGATGCAAGTGACACTGCACCAGACCACATCGATTCGGACCCTCCTTGACGCCACAGGACATCTCATTGGTGAGCATCTGGAGCTCGATCCTCCTGACGCAGCTTGGTTGCATCCGCAAGGGTACGTCCCGCCAGGACCTGTCAGCATTAGAGCTCGATTAGTTGGGCAAGGTAGAAAGCCTTTCACAATAGACATGGATGAGCCTGCGGTTCTTGTTCCAAGAGAGGGTTTGGATGACTATACCATTCACTACCAGGCGATGAGACTCTTTGCCAAGTCTTCATGTTCACAGTATGCCTTTTTCACACCAAGATTTGTTTCGCACGTTTTGGAAGTTTGGCCGCATTTTGCCCAACTGGAGATACTTCGAGCGCTGGAGGGCAAACAAGCAGCCATTGGGGTTCTGTGGGATTTGGGTCACTGGATTGCTTTTCGTGTGGAGCGCCAGGGAGATCAGTTGAAAGCCACTTCCTTTGACGGCCTCTCCTCCGAAGTCACTGCTGATTTGACCATTTTGTTCCAAAGATTTCAGTATGCTTTGAGCTGCGCCAGCGTGTCTGTTGACTCGCACTGCATAGTCCCTCAGACAGGAGGCACTCACTGTGGAGCGATAGCTCTTTTGCACGTCGGCTTTTGCTTAGGACTTTGGGACGCTTGTGACGAAACCACTGCACAGCTCTGGAACGAGGTGCTTTTTCAGCGCCAGCTTCGTAGAGGCGGGGGTCCGACTAAGGCAGAAGCAATTCAGGCATGGCTGGAAAACTTCCTGCCAACAAAAGGTGTTCCGATCGAAGCAGCCAAGTCAAGAGCCTCAGCTGCTATCAAGAAACTTGGCACTGATGCTTTGGATTCAGCTATCTCCACGACCGACCCGTGGAGAGCGCTGAAACAGGCAGGGGGAGCACTGAGCAAGCCATTCCAGTGGGTACAGTATGAAGAGCTCCAGGCTCACATTGCCAAGCGAAGTGAGGTCAGGTATGGCACTGCTGCCAAACAGGTGCAGCATGGCAACCGGGGCAAGAGAGTTGAAACGCTGCTCAACATCACTCCTGCAACCTTGGAATTGCTTCCAAACACATTTTTTGATGCAGCCGACGAGCCACTTGGCATGATCAGCTTGCAGACCCTACGTCCTGACCAAAGGGGCATTGCAATTGTCACCGAAGAGGAAGCTCTTGCCTTCCTTAAAGACCGCAAGAACCTTAGTACTGATGCTTTTGGTTTGCTCACTATTGGAGAGCTTGCAAACCCGGACGCTGATTCGCGTATTGAGCACATTCATTGGTCCGCAGTGTACAAGCCAACGCAGGAACCAATCATCATTCGCGGTTCGCTTGTTTCTTTAGGTGACATCAGCATTGAGAAGAAAACCATTTCAAAGGCTCTCACGATGCCTAAGGTAGACACTGAGGTGATCCGTATTCAAGCTTTTGCCGATGCCACGGACACATGGGAAGACCTTCAATCCGGCCCGGTAAAGCACATCATCGCGCTCATTCCTGCCCTTCGTTTCTGTACTGAGGAATCCTGCTCCGGGGCCTGTGGGCTTTTTCATCCAGCTGTTGACGAGAAGGTGCAGCAAGTTGTTTTGGATGCTTGGGCCTGGAAATGGCTAACAGCTGAAGGGAAGAAGTCTACAGCCAGCAAGGCTGAAGCGTTCTCAGTCTACATGAGAGTGACAGCATCAGCTCTGCGACAGATCTTGAAGCATTCTGGTGATCATGGCATCTTCGTTGAACCAAGGCCGGAGTCAATGCAAGGAAGCCACCCTTCCTACTGCGTGGTTTGGCTGAGCCGGACAACTTCTCACTCTGAGGCGCTTCACTACAAGCGCACACAAGATCTGGTGGTGGGACTTGCTCGCATGGGGCAAAAGCTCGGTTTGCGCGCTCTGCTCAAGCATGAAGCAGCGCTGCTCAAGATCGTCTACCCGGATCGGGCTTTCGCATCATGTCAGGTTCGCTTCATCTATGAGACGGGTCCGGTTCCACATGCCTTGAGCCGTGACCAAGTTGCCCAGATGCTCAAGGCCTGGGGATGGATTGCGCGGCCACTCAAGGCTTTTCGTTCCACAGCAGATGGCAAGTTCTGGGACATAGGCACCTCCACTGCACCTCCGGCTCCTATTTTGGAGACGGAGCATGGTGACCTCACAGTTGCAAAGAAGCGAGATGCTGAGAAGACTGCCAAGGTCTTACCCATTGTTTCTGCTCCCAAGCGCACTTCTGATCACATGAAGGCCTCGTTTGCTGGAAAGTCAAGTGTTTCAGCGCCCAATGACATTTGGTTGAAAACGGGTGGCTGATGAAGCACAGCTTCGGCAAAAGACGAGATTCTCTTCACCCACAACAAGGGAAACTCGAGCAGTGCGCAACAGCGCATTGGGGATCTGGAAGAGCGTTTGAAGACACAGGTGACCCAGCAGCTCAAGGATCTCGCCTCCCAAGGTGACATTTCGATGAAGGACAACATGCCAGAAGTTGAGACTCTGCGCACGGATGTCGAGGAACTCAAGCAGCAGCAAGAAAAAATGGCGGGCTGGATCAAAGAATCTGCCTCGCAAGTTCAGCAGTTGCAGAAACATGTCAATGATCAGGCAACTCAGGTTCGTCAGCTAGGTGAGACATTCCAGAAGCAATCACAAGCTCATGACAGCCAGATTCGCCATCTGGGAGAAGTCATTCAGACGCAATCGGCTGCCACGGAGTCAGTCACCAA